AATTAAATGTCACTGTAACTTTTAAAATAGTATGCTAATGCCCAGAGATCGAACCTGCTTATAGATGCACAGAAACATTTTTCAGACGACTGAATAATTTTTAATTGAGGAGAAGGATTGAGGGGGAGGGTATAGGGGAGTTACTCAAGTAAAATTTGTGCTGTGTACGTGTTTTTAATTCAGGTTTAAAATATCCATCTGTTCATTTTTAATAAAATAATACCCAGTAACAAAACATGTTTGCTTTCTTATATTTTTTATTTGTGTAAATATTTAGGTCTATGTACCAACATAGGGAAGTATTCTAAAATGAAATACCGCCAAAACCGGTTTGGCTCAGTGGATAGAGCGTCAGCCTGCGAACTGAAAGGTCCCAGGTTCGATTCCGATCAAGGGCATGTACCTGGGTTGCTGGCACATCCCCAGTAGAAGGTGTGCAAGAGGCAGCTGATTGATGATTCTCTCTCATTGATCTTTCTAACTCTCTATCCCTCTCCTTTCCTCACTGTAAAAAAAAAATCAATAAAATATATTAAAAATAATAATAATAAAATGAAATACCAATGCTAGCTGTACATTATTTTTTGAGAAGGTAAGAAGCTATAATTAAGGTACATGCATGTCATTGGGACCATATCTAAGTGGTAATGAAAGATATCCTGTGTGAAAAGTTATAATTAAGAGGAGGAAGAAGAGATAATAAAACCAGCCTTTTAGTTATAATGTGAGGAAGGAATGTAAACACTAGGAAATACTTCTCTGACATTTAGGGCTTTCTCACAAACAGAATTAAAACACAGAAATCTTCCCCAGAGGTCTTTAAAAGTAGTTTATAACCTCATCTTTCTGCTCCTGGCAATTTTACTTATGATAATAAAAAAATCCAAATGACCAATAGAAGGGAAATTGTTGGGTAAATTACAGTACTTTATGGAATATTTAGATAGTCATTAAAATTAAAATATGAGAGCTATATAGCAGCATATTAAAATTCCTATGGTTAGATATTTAGTGAAGAGGGTGCACAATTTTATCTATAATGTGATTACTGTTATGTAAAAATTAGAGTTGAATGCAAATTCAGATTGGGGGGGAAAACACAGAAAAATAAAAGCAATTGATGGTATTGCATGGTATTGTTGTGGCAGGGGGGAATGAATTGTTTTCCAGTTATTTAAATAAAAATATGTCTTAAAGGTGTTCATCTCTCTTGAAATTGTATCTGTGGTTTTTACTGAGGACCAGAAGATAAAGCCCTCTGCAGTCTTCTGAGGCCTAATTTTTAGTAGCACAAGATTTCAGACAATGGAGTCCTGCTTTGGTGCTCCTGAGTTGCAAGGAGGGTGGTATCTAGAGGGTCACATTCCAAAGCATCACTGGTCTCCATTAAAACATAATTTATGAAATTGAAAATTAATTTTATGGAAATGCATTAAACAGTCTTATCATTAGCATATACTTGGTCTAATTGATTTGGGAGTGACATTGTAACAGCTTTCACTGCTATTACATATTTAAAAAGATGAAATCTGATGTGTCCTCCTGTGTTTATGCTGCTGGGAAATAAACTTGCAGAAGGGAGTGTTCAAACGTCCACGTGGTAGGTAGTCTTGCTCAACAAAGATCCCTGCGAAGGGAAACTGCTCAATGAAGTCATTCCTGACGATGAATCCAATGTAACCAGACTCCCTCAGGGCAGGCCAGTAACTGCCTCCATTAGTGAGGAGAGCAGATAAAGGCCAGATTGTGGGACCAAAAGGGGAAGATGAGATGGCCAAAATCAGGCTCCTTCCTTCCCAAGTTAACTTGACAGTCCTATTTGAATATAGGTTCTGCCTTTATCCTTGGTTTTGATCTCCACGGTTTAAGTGGTGGTCGACTTTGGTCAGAAAATATTAAATGGAAATTTTCAGAAAAAACAATTAATTCTATTTAAATGGTGTGCCTTTGTGAGTAAATTGAATTCTCACGCTGTCCTGCTTCAACCAGCCCAGAACGTGAATCATCCCTCGGTCCAGTGTGTCCACACTGTGTAAGCTCTCCCTCACTCCCTCAGTCACTTACTAGCCTTCTTGATTATCAGATCGACTATAGAGGTATCCAAGTGCTTGTGTTCAAATAATCTCTATATTAATAGTGGCCCCAAAGCACAAATGATGCTGGCAATTCAGATATGCCCTAAAGTTCTTCTTTTAAGTAAGAAAGTATGTGTGTGTGTGTGTGTGTGTGTGTGTGTGTGTGTGTGTGTGTAGGGAAAAAACAGTACTTTTTGCACTTTCGGTCATTCACTGGGGCTCTTGGAATGTGGATAAAGGGTAACTATTGTATTTGCTTTCAGAATATTAAAAAGGTTTTATGAGGGGTGTGTCTGGTTCTTTCCAGGTTGAAAACTACATTGACTTGGACATTTTAAATGTTCTATATTAATGCTTACACACAAGCACAGAGACACATATATAAACGTCTGGATATATTCTGTGGCAGCTGTGAGAATATGCTGACAGGCCTCTGATGACAGATAGAGTAATTGACCAGGGACCCCAGCAGCTGCACTCTGAAATTTATTACCGTGTTGGCAACAAGCCACCCTGGCTGGGGCTGCTCCAATCGGTGACTGAGCTCGGCAGAGTACTGAAGCAGGCCTACCCCAGGGAGACACAGGGGCCCTCTGACAGCTGACTTTGGATCCCCAACAGCTTTGCCAAACCTTCTTTAGACTATGGGGCAGTCAAGGACTCTTTTGCCCAACCTTGTACGCCCTCTTCTTTATGGGGTCAGACTTGCAGCACAATTTCTTGCATTTTTCTCTCCTAATAAACTTCTTGCATGTTTAATCCTATCTTGGCATCTGCTTCATATAAACATATTTAGGGTGTCCCAAAAAATGTATAAAGTACATGCATTTTGAATAATTATAAAGGCATTGCTTTTTAAAATACATTTCATTTTCAAAATTGAGTAATCAGCTGTTAAAGTGTGTACACATTTTTGGGACACCCTGTATGTGCATATGTATTTAAATTTGAATCATCTGATGGGCACTAGTTGTGTCCAAATTTTGCATTATAAAAATATCCATTTACCCCCGCCAGCATGGCTTAGTGGTTAAGCATTGACCTATGAACCATGAAGTCATGGTTTAATTCTCAATCTAGGTACATGTCTGGGTTGCAGGCTGCGACCTTAGTGTGCAGGAGGCAGCGAATCAAGGATTCTCTCTCATCATTGAGGTCTCTATCTCTCTGTCCCTCTCCCTTCCTCTCAATAAAAAAATATTTTTAATAAATATACCCATCTATCCTCCTCCCCCCTTTTTTTTTTAATGATACTGCTACTTTTGGGGGGGATTTTTATAGAAACTACAGTGAATGTCTCTTGCTGCAATACCTCCAAAGAACTCACAGAGAAAACTAGATTTCAGAGTGCAGAAGTTAGGATCCCTGGTCAATTACTCTTGCTACACTTCCTATTTCTCTTCTATATGGATAGCATTTTGGATAGAATTAGGAGTTTTTCTGGCACAGGAGCCCCAGGCTTTCTGTGTGTGTAGATGGGGAAGTGAGGAACTACTCCCCCACAACATTCTTCCACATTCCAAGGAATCAGGAAGACAAAGGTTTGGGCCTCATCATCAATCTCTTCATTCTTCCCTGCCCACCACCATTCTTGATTTGGACTCTCTGATTCCATATCAGAGTTCTTGATTGTAAGCAACAGGAATAGATTCTATATCACTTATGCAAAAGAGAACTTGTTGGGAAAGTTTGGGAGCTTACAACCTATGAAAGGCTGAAGGATCAATCAGGGCTGGCTCTCCACACAGATTGTTTGTTTGTTTGTTTGTTTGTTTTGAGCTGATTCCCATGGCTGTCCTGCAGGATTCAGGTCCTGGAAGAGAGGTACCCACTGAGCACCTCTATGGCAAGGAGAGCTTCAGTTTCTTTACGGCAGGCAGGTGCCTTAAATTTCACTCCAACTGACAGAACCTAGTGGGTTCAGTGATGGCTCAAAGTGAACTTCTCTAAATAATATTCAGGTGGAAAAAGTACTCTCAAGGAAGATTAGGTGGTAGGGCCATTAAGAGAAATAAAATGAAAAAAAATAATATATATTTTTCCCTAATATACTAGGGAAATTTGTTAAAAGGAGAAATAAATGTCGGGCAGAAAAAAATATAATTTAAATAAATAATAGATATCCAGCACACACTTTTTATACATTTGCATAGTCTGTGAGTGTGTAGACGTTCAGAGACTAGCCACAGCTATTGAGCGATAGGTTAGTTTTTGCCCAAGTGAAAGAAAGTTTCCTGATTGAGACCGAACCTAGCTGTTGCCAGGAGCTTGTTTGAACTAAATTCACCTCCTGAGTTTATTTCCATCCAAGGGTTTTGGGTTCTAATGTTTTACTGTCCAAAACTGAAGTGCTGTTATTGCAAGGAAAGCAGCACCATCCATCAATTTCTCTTCAAAGGTCCCTCGCTTACCTTCTAGAGCTTTGCTATTGATTTTCTGGCTCTCCACACAGGTCTTTTGTTTTTTGTTTGTTTGTTTTGAGCTGATTCCCAAATGTGATAGCACAGTACTATCAACAAATGGAAAGGCTGAGAAACCCTCCAGAAAAAATGATCAATGAGGTTTCACTCTCTCCCTCCCTGAATCCATATCACTCTCCTTTCCTTCATAAAAGTATTCCTTTGCTTTGCTTTCTTTCTCTTAATGGCCCACTACCTTATCTTTCTTGAGAGTACTTTTTCTATCTAATTCTTATTTAAAGAAACTCACTTTGAGCCATCACCAAGCCTGTTTGCTCACTGCAAGCAGAAATAGATGCCCTTGGAAAATAATCAGAAAGTGAGAGTATATATGAGATAAGCATAGCTTGGGGGGGGGGGGGATTAACACTTCAGATACAAATGGAACTTGAATTCATGGAAATAAATTTCAAAAGAGGAATGCTTAGGTTGATAGTCAGGTAATGTGCCATTATTGTCATTCCAGGTAAAGATGGCCTTGCAACAAGAAGGATTCCAACGGAAAAAGCGAGGATATAGAGATATCAATGAGATCGATATCAACATGAATGATCCTCTTTTTACAAAGCAATGGTATCTGGTAAGTGTCTCTGTATTATTCCTAACATTTCTCATTTTGAGACTTGGGATACAAAATGCATTTTCATTTCCTCATTATTCTTTGGGACATTGGCCAGTATTCGACTCAGTCAATTGCTCTGTCCCCTCTGATCCGTATTGATTTTTTAGCACCACCCAAACATCTCATTCCCTAATCTGCTTTCTTCTGAACTGCTAAGTAGCCATGGCCTCCTAGGGTCAAAGCAAGTACCAAAAGCAGATCAGATTCTCCCAGACTCTGAAAAGTGCCCCAGCTATCTTTAATCAGATGAACAAATATTTTTAAAGCAAGATTGGTGTGGTAGTATTGAAATCATAAAGGTAAACAGAACATCTCCCTCTTGCAAAAGATACTGTATGTAGTAAGGAAATCATATTCACATAAGAATAACTCCAAACAATATGTGCTAAATTCAAAATGTGAAGTATAAATCAAGAACTACAAAAGCAAGCACTTAATTCTAAACTGGGGAGGGTTTCTGGAAACGGCAGCTCTATGGAGTTTAAAGATCACAACCTGCTCATAAAAGATGGGAGGATTGAAACTGTGTTTGCATACTTATAAAAAAAAATATATAAAGCATTAACAGTGTATATCAAAAAATTAAAGGAAGATGCTAGTGGGGGGATGCCCAGAAGTACTGCTTCAGAGAAGACATGGTCTTTGAGCTGGTGCTGGAATAGCAGATGGCTACAGAGCGTGTCAAGCAAATTTTTACACAGGTGCTTTACTCCACCAAGCTAATGAGATTCTTTGCTTGGAATTCCCGTACCAGATCAATACTGGACAAGCCGATGGCACTCCTGGCCTTGATTTGAATGTGGCAGAAGCCTGGGAGCTGGGCTACACAGGAAAAGGTGTTACCATTGGAATTATGGATGATGGTGAGTTTTTCAATGCCTTTACAGCACATGTGTCAAACACAAGGCCCGCGGGCCAAATCCGTCCCGCCAGGCCTTGCAATGTGGCCCGCACCGCGCTGTCATCACTGCACTCCGCTGCGTTTCCATCACAATGACAGTTTATGACTGTTCAGTAAACCATTCGGCCCGCGATTTAGGCTGGATTTGAGATTTTGGCACCTTCTCTGATTGAGTTCGACACCCCTACTTTACAGCATTTGTAAGCAAGGGTGTCTTTGCAGTGCTTCGGCATAGAAGAGAGTCCTTCTTTTGGAGGCAGAATAGCCAGATGTTGGGCCTGATAACCATCTATATATACTGTGGCCAAACCTTCACCTTCCTCCAAATCCATCATCCTCAAATTTGAGGATACTCTTAATAAACATTTGTTAATTTAATAAATTAAATAAACTAATGAAATCGGACCATCCTGCAACTTTAATTTCTTATTAAACCACTGCTTATACTTTACCTTAAAACATCTTCTAAACTTCTTTATATTTACCACCTGTTTCTCTAGATCCACACTGTCCAATATACTAGCCACTCGCCATATGTGGCTATTTAAATTTAAACTTCAATTAATTAATGCTAAATAAAATTAAAAATTCAACTTCTAGCTGCATTTCAAGTTCTCCATAGCTACATTTCTAGCAGCTGCTGAAATTCAAGCCAAAAGCTCCATTTTAATTGTCACAGAAATTTATTTATATTAGACCATGTGGCTCTATGTCCATGAAATAGCTTTTTAGCCGCAGGATTGCGCTTTGGAAAATTTTTTACTTTATTGTTACTTTCAGAATGAGCCTTTGTAAGCAGACTTTGATAACATTTTATGATGCATGACCCCTAGAACATATTATCCTATCACAAACACCTGCCAGATAAAGATTTAACAGAGCTTTATTTTCAATAGTTTTTTTATATGAAAGCCAACAGTTTGGGTGAATTGTTTTTCTAACTACACATGTCCTTGGCTCTGCCAAGATCTGGAAGCATATCCTCCCTGCAGTTATCTCATTGGGGATGTACTATCTGGGTCTTCATTAGCTGTCTGGGTCTCCCAGAAAAAGTGCCACTGTGCAGTTTTGGCCCAATTACATATAAAGACTATACAAAGATGAAACAAAGGATGGAGCCTTTCCCTTCTGAAGATCCTCAAAGAACACTGTGTTCTCTAAAGCAAGCCTTTGAAACAGAATTGATGGGAAAACAAGGGGAGCCAGAGTGATTAAAATGGCTGCTGTCTTTGTGTGGGCTCATTAAATAGCAACATAAAAAACAATGCCTCCCTTTTTCTGATGGGTTCAACGTTTTGAAGTGGATGTAAAAGCTTTCTCCAGCAGCCGAGGGTTTTCACAAGAAGAAAGGAGCTCTGCACAAGAGTGTCTGGGCACCCTGTCTGGAGCTGAAACAGTCTCTCCCTTCCTAATGTTTTGGTTTAGAAACTGAAGTGGCTGATGGCAGCTCGCCCAGGAGAAAGATGCACCTAGGTTTGGGGAAAACCTACCTGGGATCTATTGTAAGGACCATACAACATATCCACTGTGTAGTCCCTTTTGGGTATTAGAGAAGCACCCTCAAAGTGGCACCACAGTGACAACAGACAGGCACACCGCTCTTATGAAACCTCCATCAGCCCTATGATTCCTGCTTCAGGACTCTTTAAATTGTACCCCCCTCACCTGAATGTCCATCGTCCCTTCCAAAGATAGCAAAGATGGCTCTTGCCTCTGCTCCATGTTTCCTGGCTTGCAAGGCCAAGTCCTTCAGAAAGTTTTGATAGAATTTGATTTATGTTATTTCTTCTGCTCTTTTTAGGATTCCAAAAAGAGAAAAAAGCAAATTCTCTGCCTCCTAATTAAAACTCCTAACTTCCCCATTGTTCTGGTCACCTACTAACGCAGAGCAAATCACCCCCAAATTAAGTGACTTTAACCACTATATTGTTCTCTCTCACAGTTCTGTGTATTGCCCAGGCTCAGCTGGACAGTTCTGCTGCTGGCCTTTCTGGGGTACCTCATGCAGCTAGAGTCAGAAGACGGCTGGGACTGGATGCAACCGGAGGCTTTCTCCAGCTCCATGCAGTCCCAGCCTCTCCACTCCATGTGGTCTCGCCAGCAAAGTAGATGTATTTTTACACATGGCTCAGGACTCCCAAGAACAGGCATTCAGATGCTGGCTGGGCTGTGGTCATCAGAAGGCTTAACTGAGCTGAACCAAGATGGCTAATAGTTGATGCTGGCTGCTGCTGGGCTCAGCAGTCAAACAGGGACTACACATGGGATTCTTCCTTGGCAGCTTGCTTTCTGAAGAGCAAACAAGGGTTCAAAGGAAACAGGTGGAAGATGCCTGGCCTTTTCTGACTTAGCCTTGAAAGTCATAGCTTTTATAACCTATTTTTAGAAGCAACCACAACCCAGTCAGACTGAAGAAGAAAGAATAGACTTACCTTTAAATCAGGGAGGGGATAACCTTGTCATACTGTAGAATACTATATGGGATCGGTGATACTGAATCACCACCTTTGAAAATACAATTAATCCATTGAGGTCTACTCCTCAGCAGCATACAAATCCATAGGGATGGTGCAAGGGGATAGCTTTCTTAGAACAATGAAAGTAACTGGGCTTAGGACCAGTAATGCATCTCAACTATTACCGTTCTAACTAGGAAGATGTACATGGAGCTCCTTGCTAATTCCCTGAAGTCTCTGGAGCTTCCTGGGAATTTGGACTATTGTGGATTAGACTTCAAACCAATGGCAGATACTAATGGTTAATGAACAAAAATATAACCAAATATTTTAAATTTGTGCCCCATATTTATTAGGACTGGCTGATAAGTAGGTGCCCCTGCAGACCATGAGCCATAGCTCAGGTTCAGTGTCCAAACTGTCTGTTTTTTCCAGGACCTACATAGGGTCTATCAGTTTTTCCTGAAAATAAACAAATACATGAAAAAATAAGATTGAATATGTTACTAATACAAGAATTAAAAAGCTGATTAGAAGATGTATTCAGTATATTCCCCTGAATATAAAATTTACAAAACTCTTAAAATACTATTTAATTACCATATTATCATTTTCTAGCTTCAGTTCATTTTTATTTTTCTGGATCTTGTCTGTCATCCTTCACAATTCTATAAATAATATTTTCTTTCTCAGACTAAAGTCTGTATCTGTTCTAACTTAACACCTGGTCTTCCCCATAACCCAATTTAAGATGTTTTATTTAATTGGGCTAAATTTATCTTGTTTTAATTCTAATTTCCTTTTGGTCTCAGATTACCTATTTGCTTCAATATTTTCCCTTCACAGAGAAGAGAATTCTATTTCTCCAAAAATTCCCCTCCTAAACCAGCGTTTTTCAATCGCTGTTCTGCGGCACACTAGTGTGCCGCGAGATGTTGCCTGGTGTGCCGTAGGTGCAGACAAGACAAGAATTTTATAATTTTTCACTATTTTGTTTACTTAATATTTCATAATAAAGTAATTATAAAATACTTTCTTTGTGTTTATTTGATTCCTATTCAAGAGAATTACTTTATATATAGTCAATATAGGCACAGAGTTAAATTTTTTAACATTTTCTAATGGTGGTGTGCCTCGTGATTTTTTTCATGAAACAAGTGTGCCTTTGCCCAAAAAAGGTTGAAAAACACTGTCCTAAACAACTTGCACTCTCAGAACATTGGGTTATGTTTTAAAAAATTGACTCATTGTTAGAAAAAACGTTCTCTGTGTGTGCGTCTGTGTGTTTGTCATTTTTCTTTTACCTTACCTGTTTGTTACAACATTTTTTGCCTACCAATGAGTTCACAAAATTTAACAAATTTTAGCAAATATATACAACAACTTAATTCCAACACAACATTTTAAAATCAAGTCAATATTTTTAAACGTTCTGTTCTTCATCATGATCCACATACCTCTAGTGATATGGTAGATAATGGTACTAATGATGAGGATAGAAATATAATTTATCAAGTGTCTACTACAAGCTAAACACTTTCAATGAATTGGTTCTAATATTGAAAATTGCTTTACAAGGTAAATAATATCCCTATTTTAAAGACAAAAAAAAAAACCTGATGTTACAAGTTATTATGTCATTTAGCCAAAGTCACACAAATACTAATTATAATGTCTGAACCTGAAATGGTACTGGATCTATTGGTCCCATGGCCCAGGCTTATCCCTAACACAACCTAAACTAACCATCTCTAAATTAGAGTCCAGAACATGGACTCTAATTTAGGTCTGCAAACTTTTAAGTGTTTGTCTTTAAGTCTTCTAACCCCTCTCTCTCTCAGTACTTGAGAGGGAAATGGGGAGAGAAGGAGGAGAAGGAAGAGGAAGAGGAGGAGGAGGATGCTGGACAGGAAGTGACCAGCTATACTCTCCCAAGATATAGAAATCAGCATGATAACAGTAATTGTTTCAGATGTCAAAATATCAGCAGTGAGATATGAAACATGTTAGAGCAGCTTTCCCTAGAACAGTGATTCCCAGTCTAAAAAGTGCTTATCAGAAATGACTTGTGCAACAAGAAGAAGAAAAAAAACTTTTTTTACAAATACAATTGACCCTTGAAGAATGCTGGCTTGAACTTTGCAGGTCCACATATATATGGGTTTTTCTATTGGTCAGCACAGTTCAAACTTGCTTTCTTCAAGGGTCAACTGGTGGTTGGAGGACCAACTTAAGTTACACGCAGATTTTCAACTGCCCAGGAGGTTGCCTCTTCTAACCCCTCATTGTCCAAGGGTCAACTATACATCCTGATACAAGTTCTTTTTTTTTTTTTTCCCCAGAACAAAGCTATAACTGTGACCTGACTTTGGTATGCATGTAGTAAAGATGACAGCTATATGAGAGGCTGAATAATACTTCTGGCTTTTAAATGTTGCAACCCAATAGAGTTGTTAAATGCCACCATTACAAGCACACCTCACTGTTCTCACCTCTGCTAGATCAAGAAGAAAATAAGCATATAGAATCCACGTGCTTTCCCTGAAGTCCTGCAGCCAGTTGGCAGCATGGCTGGGATTCAAACTTGAATCTTTGATTCCAAAACCTACACTTACAACCATTATGCTAGATAGTGCAGGAGCCTTGCTGGTTTTTTGGCGGGTTTAGATGCTCAGGTGAAAAGAAATTGCAATAATTATATGCTCTCACACCTGAAGAAAAACTTTTCAATTTGCCCTTGAAGTTCTAGGGAGCTTTCTGAGACTCATGAGTCTGATGGAGGCCAGCAACTCATGGACCATAATTCTACCACTGGAAAGACTATTGGGCAACAAGGTAGTCCACATGCAGGAGGAAGCACAGGACCCCTGCAGGGCGACTCGAGGTCTCAGCTTTCAGGAAAAACACATTCTGGAAAGACAAGTATCACCTCCCACTCGGGACATCGTGCAGGAGACCATTTGCTCTTCACCTAATCACTTTTCTTGCCCAGTTATGTTCCTCTTGTTATTTCTATGCCAGAGAACCCTCTCCTAATCCGTTGCTGTCCAGGCCCTGTTCAATAATAATTGCTTTCCCTTGCCCAAGTCAGTTTCATTTCAGAAGAAATGTCTGTTGATGCTTTAAAAATGTCAGTATTTTCACAAATCTCTCTTGCATCACTGCCCTGATGAGCCATCTATCTTATACATACTATGCTCCTTTGTGCTGGCATTTACGGCAGAAGTGTTATCCTGAGGCTCCGAGCTCTAATTGGCTTCCCTCCTCTGATGCATCTGGTGGCAGCTGTCTCTTCACTTGGGTGGTGCAACCCACCCATCCTTACTTGAGAAGCAAAACACAAGGCTGGGGCCTCAGGCAGTGTATCCTGGGTGCAGTACATAAGATCTTTCTAGAGCAGCTTTCCCAAGGACAGTAGCAGGTATTAACATTTCGTTTCTGTGCTATTGTCTTTTCACAGGGATTGACTATCTCCACCCAGACCTGGCCTCAAACTACGTAAGTACAAGCTGACCTGTGTGGGTAAACATGTGCACTTTAGGTGTTCTGGTGTTCCTTGTTATTAGGAACATACGTATGCACATTTACACATACATGCATGCACACGGACACACACATGTGAACAAGTCCATGCACACACAGGCATGCACACTAAAACTGCCCATCTTGTTAGAGCCATGGCTCAGGCCAAAGACAAATAGACAGGGTAAAGAACCTCGCAGCAGAAAAAGCTGGTGGTTTTCTAAGAAGAAAAGCAGGAAATTTGAGGTCTGGAAGGTATAGGGAGGGGCAAACAGGAGGGAGGTTTAAAATCAAATCTAGCTAAGGATACTAGTATTGAATTGAAGGGTGGAAATGAGTCTGTTGGTTTTTTGCTGGATGAAACTGATGGCAAAATGCCAAAAAGTGCAGCAACTCACATTGCAACCATAGCTGTAGGAAAGCAAGAGCATCATCTTTTTTTATTATTTCTGTGTTTATGAGCCCTGCACACCGACTTGTCCCTACAATACTGTTTAGAGCATTTAGTTTCCCACCGATAAGAAATATCAACACAAAGGCATGGTAAGTGCTGTTGGGCTAGAACCACATGCAAGTCACTCTGCTTCCCTGATGAAACCTACAAACCCTTTAAAGATAAGTGATCACTTTATTTTAATCCCAGGAGGGCCACTATTCGACCATTGGTGTGTTCACTTAAAATCATCTAAACTATTACTAAGCAATACTTCTATAAGCTGCAGAACTAAGTATTCAGAAGGTTATTTTAGTAGCTGAAGAGGTCATATTGAAGAGAAACATGAACTTCAATAGAGAAAAGAAGTGTTTTGGGATCCACATTCTGGGTCATTCACCCTAGAAGGTGTGCATCTACATTGCAAAAAGAGAACAGAGGCTTCCCACGTGTTAAGTGCATTGAGCATTAGGAAACAGAGCACCCATCAGCTGGGTTCTCTTTACTGCGGGGGTCTTATAAATCTACAAGAGTATACTAAGGGCTGAGCATCATTTTAATAATTAAAAAGAAAATTAAATGAATCATTGGCACTGTCCAAAGTGGGCCCAGAGAGACATGACAAAAATTAATCTAAAGCTCTGTTCCAAGAGCTGAGACTCCACTCGTGTAGATAAGACAATAAAGAACCACTTATGAGTTGTAGGTTCCGCCTCAGTGGTCCATCTGCAGAGTCTAAGGAAACATTTCTCCTCTCCTTCCTGTGTCCTCTCTCCCCTCCTGCAGACACACGTGGAGCTGTCTGCCTGGCTGTCCCTTTTGCCTCCTTAAAAGGACTGCCCCACATAGAGCTTTGTTTGCCTCCTCTCATGCCATCCCTTTCTCTGTCTCCCCAGGATCTGCAGGGCTCTGGAGAGTTCTCCAAAAGGGAGATTGAGAAATGCTTGTGCTGTGTTTTCTCCAGCGCTGTGATACCCACAGGCTTTCCTTACACAGAAATGGCGGGGATGGTAGCCTGGGGAGGTACACACAGGGGCATTATTCACAAACCAGTGTTGCTCCATCTTGCAGCTTGTAGGACTTCATGGTAGGGTGGCTGCCAGTCGAGCTGGACAACTGACCTTTCACTTCTGCCAGTCCAGGCCCCACAAAAGCCACTTACACAGAGACTGACCTGGGCATTCTTCCCTGCTCTCTGCCCAGCCCCAGTGTTTCTGTGATGGGCTGATCCCAATACCAATTATCAGATTAAAAGAGATAGTAATTCAAGAGGGTGAAAAATTCTTTGGGGCTCTGATGATACAATGGTAACTAACCTTGTGATCCTGTCAAAACCCATAAGCTGAAATGGGAAAAAATAAAGCATCCAAATTGAAAGGTACTAGCTCCTCTTGACTCTGTGATATCAGAATATACCTGGAAGACTCTATGGGTTCTATGAGTGTTGTGTTCATTTCTATGTGCATATTTTTAATGAAATTGGGCTCTTAGTGGCATATATAGAGTATGTACCCTTCCACCTGATTATGTCATGAACACTTTTATATCATTAAGTACTCCTCAAAACATGATAATAGGGCTACACAGTTTTTACTCATGCTGCATTGTATTTAAATTTTCCAATCCCCAATTGTTGGAAAACTAAGTTGGTTCTAATAGGTATCTCATTCCAAGAGTAAGAGTGACAGATAGACAAGGTACCAGAGGGGCTCTGAACCATAGCCTGCTAAGGAAATATGAAAAATTGGGGGTTGACAACTTAAGAGGCAGATTAAATATGTTTTCAAATAGTTCCAATCTCCAATGCTCTATGTGGGATGAGGCATTAAATGAATTCAGCAATTTTTCTCAAGAAAATTCCTACCCATAGATGACAAATGCAGGAGAAAGATTTTGATTCAGTCACTGGGTTGGGGGTCACCACAACATGAGGAATTATATTAAAGGGTCGTGGCATTAGAAAGGTTGAGAACCACTGAGTAAAAGGAAAGACTGTTTAATGATTAAGGCTAATTAATAAAAGGAATTATAATTATATTTCCCAGTAAGTAATGAGTTCTCCATATCTAAAAATGTTTAAGAGGAGTGTTGCCCTGGCTGGTGTTGCTCAGTGGTTGGAGTGTCAGCTGAAGCACCGAGGGGTCTCAGGTTTGATTCTGAGTCAAGGGCATGTGCCTGGGTTACAGGTTTGATTCCAGCCTGGTTGGGACTCATGTGTGAGGTAGCCAATAGTTGTGTCTCTCTCACATATCTCTCTTTGTCTCTCTCTCTCTCTCTCTCTCTCTCTCTCTCTCTCTCTCTCTCTCTCTCTCTCTTTCTCTCTCTCTCTCCCTCTCTCTCTCTCTCTCCCCTTCCACTCTCTCTAAAAATCAATGAAAAAATATCCTATAGTGAGTATTAACAAAAAAAAAGAGGAATATTGATGACCAGTTGGCAGGTATGTGTTGTTGAGGAGATGGCAATGTCTATACTAATCTTAAAGTAGATGACATCTAAGAATTGAACAGAAACTTCAATCCAGAGGAAGGTCCTAGTCCTCAACATTTATTAAATACTTGGAACCTTACAACAGTTATTTCTAATTACATGGCTGATTACAAATTTTATAATATAATATTCTCTCACCCTGGCTGTTGTGTCTCAGTTGGTTTTGAATTCTAAAGGTTTTAGATTTGATTCCTGGTCAGGGCACATACCTAGATTGTGGGTTCAGTGTCTGTTTGGGGTGCATACTGAAAGATGTTTCTCTCCTCCTTTCTCTCCCCTTTTCTCTCTCTAAAATCCTTGGGTGAGGATTCAAATACTTCATTCTTAATTCCTCAGAGAGAACCTGAGCCTGAACTGATTTGTGCAGTCTCAGTGTCTCCCTTACTCTGTATAGAGACTGACAACTTTAAAGCTATTAACCAAATTTATCTTCTTCATTTTTAATTAAAAACTTTACACTATAATTAACAGAATGAGGATGGCAAGTGAAGTACACCTGCCCAGGAGAACAATGAAATCAGTGGACGGTGATAAACTCAAAAATTGTTTGAGCAAAGGATTAACAGAGATCTTCACACCTTGTTAGGTGACTTAATGGTTTGGATGTGATGAGCTAGCCTGGTGCCCTTCTAGTGAAATATACTTTGGGGGAGGGGGGGTCTGTGTTTGAGTTCCTTCACAAGCAGACCTTGAGACCAGGGTTTGAGGGCAAGTAGTTTATTTGAGAGGTGATCCCAGGAAGCAAGAATAGAAGGAATAATGAGATATGGAAGGGCAAGCAGCTAATAAATGGTAATTATCAAACAAGGGAGCAGCTGGAACTTCATCCCTCTGGGAATCGGGGACAGTGTAGAATAAATGCCAGTCATCCCACCCAGGATGGGTACCCAAGGAAGCTGGGGTGTTTTTACAGCAACTTCTGTCAGTCATTGGTTGAGGACTGGTTCCAGGAAATGTTAAAATACCAGCACATCCTACCTTTCCACAGCCCTTGTCAAAGGTGCAGGGACAGGCAGCCAGAACTCACCAGGGTGATAGGCCAAAGGTAAATGGGCTGGATACTGGCAACATCTGCCTCAGAGAGGATGACTTGGAAATTTATTAAAGGGCTATGTTGGGGAAATTACTTCTTGTTACAGATTATTTTCTGTGAGAAGAAAAAACTCTAGCAAAGTTTTTAGACAAAAATGACAAAACTTTCTTCATAATCAAACTAGACAAATTGTTTCCCAAACCATAAATACTTTCAAAGCTTGTTTTTTCCCGATATATTAAAAGAAAAGATGTCCTCGTTGGTTTAGCTCAGTTGATAGAGTGTCAGCCTGGGGACTGAAAGGTCCCAGGTTGCATTCTGGTCAAGGGCACATACAAGGGTTGCAGGCTCAATCTCCAGTACGAGGCCTGCAGGAGGCAGCCGATCAATGATTATCTCTCATCATTGATGTTTCCATCTGTCTCTCCCTCTCCCTTTCTCCCTGAAATCAATAAAAATATATTCTTTTTTTTAAAAAAAAAGAGTTGAGTCAGAGTATACTGGTAGTCTGGTGTTCTTTCTATTTAAACTGAGAATTAAAATCCTTTAAAAACTGCAAATATATAAATGTGAGTCATTAGTGTTAATTTAATTCAACAAATCTACATTAAATCTGTTGAGAGTTAGAAGCAAAGGATAATAATAGCTGCTTGAAGTATTACTGTATTGTTCTATGATTGGATTTAATCTGAGGGATCCAGTCCCACTGATAAATGCTCACTATCCCAAATAATTAAAACTCTCCTTTTTCCATCCCAATAGTTATAACATGAAATAAATATTGGCCAAGATGCTATTTTAGACCAAGTCTAAATCAGAGTTTCTTTAACCCATCCTCTCTGTGCTAATGGTCTGGATATACACACTAACACAACACTGTGAATTGAACCTACTATGTGCACGCCTCAGAGGAAGAGAGAGAAGCCAGACTCAAATGTTCTCCAGAGAAGCTGGTGGACAGTAAGGACACTGGTAAGGGATGTATCTCACAGATGAGGGGCTGGCAGGCAGAGAGGTTGTTCA